TTGGGGCACTTACCAGAGTTGGGATCCATACAGCCAGTTCTTCGCCTTTGGCTTTCACAAGTTGGAAAGCTTGGACGGTCAGTTTGTAGACATGCTGGGAAACAGAAGTAGCGAGGGCTCCCACCTTCCTAAAAGTGGTGGTGGGAGAGATCTCCTTTGATACAGATGTCCTTGAAGGCTCATGAGCTAAAGGGGGAAAGTGAAGGAAGCACACATAAGCAATCATTGGACAAGAGCATCGAGAGGTGACATAGAATCATAGAATCAAAGAGTTGGAAGAGACCTCATGGGCCATCCAGTCCAACCCCCTGCCAAGAAGCCGGAATATTGCATTCAAATCACCCCTGACAGATGGCCATCCAGCCTCTGTTTAAAAGCTTCCAAAGAAGGAGCCTCCACCACACTCTGGGGCAGAGAGTTCCACTGCTGAACGGCTCTCACAGTCAGGAAGTTCTTCCTAATGTTCAGATGGAATCTCCTCTCTTGTAGTTTGAAGCCATTGTTCCTTGTCCTAGTCTCCAAGGAAGCAGAAAACAAGCTTGCTCCCTCCTCCTCCCTGTGGCTTCCTCTCACATATTTATACATGGCTATCATATCTCCTCTCAGCCTTCTCTTCTTCAGGCTAAACATGCCCAGTTCCCTAAGCCGCTCCTCATAGGGCTTGTTCTCCAGACCCTTGATCATTTTAGTCACCCTCCTCTGGACACATTCCAGCTTGTCAATATCTCTCTTGAATTGTGGTGCCCGGAATTGGACACAATATTCCAGATGTGGTCTAACCAAAGCAGAATAGAGGGGTAGCATTACTTCCCTAGATCTAGACACTATGCTCCTATTGATGCAGGCCAAAATCCCATTGGCTTTTTTGCCGCCACCTCACATTGTTGGCTCATGTTTAACTTGTTGTCCACGAGGACTCCAAGATCTTTTTCACACGTACTGCTCTCGAGCCAGGCATTGTCCCCCATTCTGTATCTTTGCATTTCATTTTTTCTGCCAAAGTGGAGTATCTTGCATTTGTCACTGTTGAACTTCATTTTGTTAGTTTTGGCCCATCATCTCTCTCTAATCTGTCAAGATCGTTTTGAATCCTGCTCCTGTCCTCTGGACTATTGGCTCTCCCTCCCAATTTGGTGTCGTCTGCAAACTTGATGATCCTGCCTTCTAGCCCTTCATCTAAGTCATTAATAAAGATGTTGAACAGGACCGGGCCCAGGACGGAACCCTGAGGCACTCCACTTGTCACTTCTTTCCAAGATGAAGAGGAAGCATTAGTGAGCACTCTCTGTGTTCGTCCACTTAACCAATTGCCTAGCCCACATTGGACTAGTTTCCTTGCCAGAAGGTCATGGGGGACCTTGTCAAAGAAGGCCTTACTGAAATCCAGGTACGCTCACATCCACGGCATTCCCCGCATCTACCCAGCTTGTAGCTCTATCGAAGAAAGAGATCAGATTAGTCTTGCATGACTTGTTTTTGATAAATCCATGTTGACTATTAGCGATGACTGCATTTGTTTCTAAGTGTTTGCAGACCGCTTCCTTAACAATCTTTTCCAGAATCTTCCGGTATCGACGTGAGGCTGACCGGACGGTAGTTGTTTGGGTCATCCTTTTTTCCCTTCTTGAAGATTGGGACCACATTGGCCCTCCTCCAATCTGCTGGAACTTCTCCCGTTCTCCAAGAACTCTCAAGATGGTTGCCAATGGTTCCGAAATGACTTCCGCTAGTTCCTTCAATACTCTGGGGTGTAGTTGATCTGGCCCTGAAAGGGGACTTGGACTCATTTAGAGCGGCCAGGTATTCCTGGACGACTTCTTTCCCAATTTGGGGTTGGATGTCCTCCAATCCCTCATCCACTCCATCTTGCTGAGGTTGAAGACTCTCTTTTTGTGAGAAGACCAAGGCAAAGAAGGCATTAAGTAGTTCTGCCTTTTCCCTATGGTAGTCATCTTTCATTAACTGTCATGTAGATGGAGCTGTTGTTCCAGAGGTTGTAACTTATTTACTTACTTAGGTGATCCCTCGTTGTCTGAGTAGGATTGTCTTCCAAGATTAGTGTCTTGGCATTGGGTCCATAGGTGACGGTGGAGCCCTATTCCTGACCGGCATCTTCTCCCACAGTGAAGGCATTGGTTTCCAGGTGGAAGGTGGTCCCGGTCGGGGTTGGCTTGATGCGCCTTCCTCCTGGCACGTTTCTCTCTTTCGCCCTCCATTCGCACCTCTTCAAATTCTACAGCACTGCTGGTCACAGCTGACCTCCATCTGGAGCACTCAAGGGCCAGGGCTTCCCAGTTCTCATTGTCTATGCCACAGTTTTTAAGGTTGGCTTTGAGCCCATCTTTCAATCTCTTTTCCTGACCACCAACATTCTGTTTTCCGTTCTTGAGTTCAGAATAGAGCAACTGCTTTGGGAGATGCCAGACTGCTTTGGTCTGGTATCCGGACAACATGACTGATCCAGCATAATTGATGGCGGAGGAGCATTGCTTCAATGCTGGTGGTCTTTGCTTCTTCCAGCATGCTGACATTTTTCCGCTGGTCTTCCCAAGAGATTTGCAGAATTTTCCGGAGGCAGATGGAATCGTTCCAGGAGTTGCATGTGACATCTGTAGACAGTCCACGTCTCGCAGGTGTATAGCAAGGTTGGGAGGACAATAGCTTTATAAACAAGCCCCTTGGTCTCCCTATGGATGTCCCGGTCCTCAAACACTCTGTGCTTCATTCAGAAAAATGCTGCACTTGCAGAGCTCAGGTGGTGTTGAATTTCAGTGTCCCTATCTAGTACTATAAATGACAGTCCAAGCTGCTCCTATGCTTCTGCGAAGGTGTTTAGAGTGGCTTGTAGGTCTTCTTCTGAATGTACACAGACAACGTTGTCATCAGCATACTGGAGTTCTATAACAGATGTTGTTGTAACCTTGCTTTTGGCTTTTAGTCTGCTGAGGTTAAATAGCTTGCCATCTGTCCAATAGATTATTTCCACTCCGGTGGGAAGCTTCCCATCAACAAGATGAAGTATCATAGCAATGAAGATGGAAAATAAAGTTGGGGCAATAACACATCCCTGTTTGACACCTGATTCCACCTTAAATGGGTCACTTTGGGAGCCACTGATGTCCAAGACTGTAAGACCTGTCATTAAACATCGAGAAAACAAAAGTGCTCTTCCAGCAGTCACCAGCCAATCCCTCTGCAATGCCAGAAATACAACTTAATGGTGTAACATTAGAAAATGTGGACCATTTCCGCTCCCTTGGTAGCCACCTCTCCACAAAAGTCAACATTGACACTGAAATTCAACACCACCTGAGCTCTGCAAGTGCATAATTTTTCTGAATGATGCACAGAGTGTTTGAGGACCGGGACATCCGTAGGGATACCAAGGTGCTTGTTTATAAAGCTATTGTCCTCCCAATCCTGCTATATGCCTGCGAGACGTGGACTGTCTACAGATGTCACACACAACTCCTGGAACGATTCCATCAGCGCTGCCTCTGAAAAATCCTGCAAATCTCTTGGGAAGTCAAGCAGACAAATGTCAGTGTGCTGGAAGAAGCAAAGATCACCAGCATTGAAGCGATGGTCCTCCGCTATCAACTCCGCTGGACCGGCCACGTTGTCTGGATGCCTGACCACCGTCTCCCAAAGCAGTTGCTCTACTCGGAACTCAAGAATGGAAAACGGAATGTTGGTGGGCAGAAAAAGAGATTGAAAGATGGGCTCAAAGCCAACCTTAAAAACTGTGGCATAGACACTGAGAACTGGGAAGCCCTGGCCCTTGAGCGCTCCAGCTGGAGGTCAGCTGTGACCAGCTGTGCTGTAGAATTTGAAGAGGCATGAATGGAGGGTGAAAGAGAGAAATGTGCCAAGAGGAAGGTGCATCATGCCAACCCCAACTGAGACCGCCTTCCACCTGGAAACCAATGCCCTCACTACGGGAGAAGATGTAGATCAAGAATAGGGCTCCACCATCACCTACGGACCCACCGCCAGGACACCAACCTTGAAGGTCCATCATCCTCAGACTATGAGGGATCACCTAAGTAAGTAACGTTCTACTATAAATAATTTTCTTGACTCAAAGAATGGAGGCACACCTTAGTTGGGAGGAAGGCAGACGGAGCTACACTCCCTCCCACGGCATGATTCCTTGGAAATGTTGGTAGATGATAATTCTGAAAAATTTTCCATTAAAGATCTCTATCACCTCGCCTCACTTCCCACACATAAACACAAACACTACATTCCCCACAGTTCCCTGGGGTGAGGAAATGGCTATTAGTAAAACCAGTTTATCTGCACATCTGGGGTAGGAAAAGGCCCAGGATACCCTGTTTGGGCTTGTCCACCTCCCCCACAGTCAGAATACTCCAGCTTATTAAAAAGACATTCTTTTTACATCAAATCATATATTTCTTGACTATTTTTTTCCATAATCAGATATCTTTCCTTTTTCTTTTTTCATGGCTTGTTGTCTTATTGTTTCCGCGCACCCCTTCCACCTAAATAATCTTACTTAGCAGATATTTAGCCAACTGTTTTCAGATTCCAGAAAGAGAATAATTTATTTATGCATTTATTTATTTACTATATTTATACCCCGCTCTTCTCACCCCAAAGGGGACTCAGAGCGGCTTTCGAACTATGGCAAAAGTCAATGCCTCCCTATACAACAGGTGTCATTCAGAAGGCTTGAACAGACTTTCCAAATATTCAAAGTTCAGAATTTGTTTGCCATAATCCAGTACCATAGTTCTTAAAAATTCTGTACCAGATCGTATCCCTAAGCCAAGCAGGATATAAAGTATGGTTAGTATATCTAGTTCAATCAGCTACAATGAGGCTCCTGTGTGATTTGGAGGAAACCAGTGGAACCCCTGGAATCTCACCCCTTAATCAACTCAAAGTGTCAGAAAGCTTTTAGAAGAAAGTTTTCAACACGGGCAACCTCTTGTTGCCCATATTGAGGCTTTCCAAAGATGTCTCAAATAGTAATATTAACCTGATGGGTTTTCTTTTTTTGGAAAGACGTCCACCAGCTTCTCCCGTCTCCCAGTTATTCCTTCTCCTCCAGCGTCCACCATGTGACTCACGCGGCTGCTCCTGGTACATGCCATTGAGGCCTTCACGCTGTTCTTTGGCCACTCATAGCTTTCAGTGGCCTGCCCCATGGCTTTCTTCAAGATGTCAACAACAGTGTGCACAGACTTTTGAATCTGAATTAAGATGGATTCCTTTAGTGTAGAAGTGACCTAGAGGAAGAAAATAAATAAATAGGGTCATCTTCATGAGTCAGGAGAGGAACATATGTCATCGGTTGGGGACCCCTTCCCCCCAGCACCAATTGCCGCTCTGGGCCAGAGTGAAGAGAGAGGGGGCCAGGGGACAGTTCCATCTTGTCTCCTGCATATGTCATCAGTTGGGGACCCCTCCCCCCTGCACCAATTGCCGCTCTGGGTTAGAGCGAAGAGAGAAGGGACAGTTCCACCTTGTCTCCTGCATATGTCATCAGTTGTGGATCCCTCCCCTGTGCACCAAGGGCCGGTCTGGGCCAGAGTGAAGAGAGAGGGGGCAGAAGACAGTCCCATCTTGTCTCCTGTATATATCATCAGTTGGGGACTCCTCCCCCCTGCACCAATTGCCGCTCTGGGCCGGAGTGAAGAGAGAGGTGGCCAGGGGACAGTTCCATCTTCTCTCCTGCATATGTCATCAGTGGGGACCACTTCCCCATAGCACCAATTGCTGCTCTGGGCCAGAGTGAAGAGAGAGGGGGCCAGGGGACAGTTCCATCTTGTCTCCTGCATATGTCATCAGTTGGGGACCACTTCCCCATAGCACCAATTGCTGCTCTGGGCCAGAGTGAAGAGAGAGGGGGCAGAAGACAGTCCCATCTTGTCTCCTGCATATATCATCAGTTGGGGACTCCTCCCCCCTGCACCAATTGCCGCTCTGGGCCGGAGTGAAGAGAGAGGTGGCCAGGGGACAGTTCCATCTTCTCTCCTGCATATGTCATCAGTGGGGACCACTTCCCCATAGCACCAATTGCTGCTCTGGGCCAGAGCGAAGAGAGAGGGGGCCAGGGACAGTTCCATCTTGTCTCCTGCATATGTCATCAGCTGCGGACCCCTCACCCCCAGCACCAACAGCTGCTCTGGGCCAGAGTCAAGAGAGAAGGGGGCAGAAGACAGTTCCACCTTGTCTCCTGTGCTATTCTAATAATCAATATAAAAAAAATGTAATGTTCGTTTGTGGGACTAACATAACTCAAAAACTACTGGGCGAATTGAAGCCAAATTTGGACACAATACACCTATCAGGCCAACGAGTAACCATCACTCATAAAAACACTGAAATACGCAGTGGAAGACATTTAAAAGCCAAAAAAAAAATACACGACAATGCATGCGCATAACCACATTGCTCCCCTGACATAAAGTCCAGTCATGTCTGACTTGGGGGGGGGGGGGTTGCTTCTTATCTCCATTTCTAAGCCCAAGAGCCGGCGTTGTCCATAGACACCTCCAAAGTCATGTGGCCAGCATGACTGCAAGGAGCACCGTTACCTTCCTGCTGGGGAGGTACCTATTGATCTACTCACACTTGCATGTTTTCGTATTGTTAGGTTGGCAGAAGCTGGGGCTAACAGCGGGAGCTCATGCTGCTCCCCGGATTCGAACCTGTGACCTTTTGGTTAGCAAGTTTAACAGCTCAGCGGTTTAACCCACTGCACCACTGGGGACTTCAGCATAACCACATGTGTATTTATGCATAGCCACATAAATACACATCTACACACATATATACACACACAAAACACATATACACAGACTGAGCCACAGCAACGCGTGGCAGGGGACGGCTGGTATAATATAATACAATGTAATATAATATATTGTATATACATATATTTATAATATTATAATGTAATGCAATATAATAATACTACTAATAATATGATATTATAATTATATATTTATACTACGTGTAATATTACTAATAATATTACAATATAACTTTAAAAATGCCATAGACGCGATTTACTCAAATCAAGAAGCCACACTCATAGTAAATGGGGTGGAGTCCAAAAGGGCAATAAAAATTACACAGGGCACACGACAAGGGTGCCCGTTGTCCCCCCTGCTTTTCATCCTAGTCATGGAGACAATGACCAGAGCAATAAATGAAGACAAAGCATTAAAGGGAATAAAAATAGGAGGCTACCACTTGAAATTAAGAGTCTATGCGGACGATGTAGTCTGTATAGTAGATGACCCAATAAACAATATTGAGAATTGGCTAAGTAAGATTGAGAACTTCGGAGAGGTGGCGGGCTTTAAATTAAACAAGCAGAAAACGAAATTACTGACGAAGAATTTGAACCAAAAAGAAAAAGAGACATTACAAGAACGATCAGAGTTAAAAATTGAAAATAAGGTAAGATACCTAGGGATAATCATTACTAAGAGTAATATTAATTTAATAAAAAACAACTATGAGACTCTATGGAACAAAATACAGAAGGATCTGAACAGGTGGAAGCATCAGGACCTCTCACTATTAGGACGAATTGCACTACTTAAAATGACAATTTTGCCCCAAATATTATTCCTCTTTCAAACTCTCCCAGTGTTAAGAACCGATTATTTATTTAAAAAAATGAAAAAAGAGGTGACAAAATTCATTTGGAAAGACAGGAAACCGAGAATTAGCTTAAAAATACTTACAGATGAAAAAAAAAGAGGAGGTCTAGGGCTACCAGATTTTAAGCTCTACTATGAGGCGTGTAACCTGGCTGCACTAAAGGAATGGGCTACTTTAGAAAACCGGCCGCTCTTGGCATTAGAAGGACATGACCTTAGGTCCGGGTGGCACGGTTACCTATGGTATAGTAAAAGGAAAGTAGAAAAAGCCTTTAGTAATCATTATATTAGATCAGCCCTTATAAAAACATGGGAGAAATATAGACCTAGACTATATTCTAAAACGCCACTGTGGATATCTCCCACAGAAGCGAAACATAAGAGAGAGTTAGAAGAGAGGAAATGGTTAACTTATCAGCAATTATTAAAAAAAAATGAGGCATCAGGGGGTGGGCAACTAATACTCAAACCTTTAGACGAAATTAGACTGCAGAACGAAAAAATAACGTGGCTCAATTACTATCAAATAAATCAGCAGTTTAAGGAGGACAACAAAGTAGGATTTAGTGAGGAACAAGGGATATGGGAATTGATTATGAAAAAAAAGACGAAATTAATTAGAATCTTATATCAACAATTACTAAAGTGGAGTACAGAGGAAGAGCAAATAAAAGAATGTCAGGTCAAATGGGCGAGGGACCTGGGACACACAATACTATTAAATCAGTGGGAAGAAATCTGGAAAACAAAATTAAAATATACAGAAGCCAGTGATCTCCGGGAGAACTGGTACAAAATGTTTTTTAGATGGTACTACACCCCAGTAAAAATAGCAAAATTTAATAAAAATGGATCAAATATGTGCTGGAAATGCGGAAAGGAAAAAGGTACCTTCTTCCACCAATGGTGGTCTTGTAATTTGGTTAAAAAATATTGGAAGGATGTTCATGAAGCAACACAAAAAATAATGAAAATTAAATTTCCCATGGCCCCAGAAGTATACCTCTTAGGTATGACAAACACAAAGTTAGATAAAAATCAAGCTAAGATATGCTTTCTCTCTAGTACAGCTGCAAGACTGTTACTTGCGAGGGTGTGGAAAAGAAAAGAGATACCAACTCTAGAGGAATGGACTATAAAAATACTGGACATCATGCAAATGGATAATCTCTCTCAGAGACTCAAAGGAAAACAAAATGACACAATATGGAACGGATATATAGACTTTATTAAAAACAAGGGAATTCCGCTTCAAGTAGATCTGTCGAGCTGACGAATAAGAATAAAGGAAAAATGTCGATGCAAGCAAGAAGGAAGAATGGCAAACTACAATGAAACATCAATCCCAGAATGAACGGCGGGAAGTCGAAGCAAGCCTTTTAACGTTAACTCCTTCCCCCCCCCTTTTTTCCCCCCTACCCCACCCTCCCTATCCACCAGCATACCCCATATGCCATACCCCTCACACATTACCCCCCCCTTTTTTTTTTTTTTTTTCTTTTCTTTTCTCTCACCACCCTCCCCTCTGAACCCTTACTCCCACCCTCCCCAACCTGATGTAAAATAAAATCTCAATAAAGATTAGACAGAAAAAAAAAAAAATATTACAATATAATGGTATAGTAAAATATAGTAATATTGAATACTGATATTGTACTATGTTAATAATATAATATTTTGTATATATAGATATCTTGTAAGCCATTCTGAGTCCCCTTCGGGGTGAGAAGGGCAGCATATAAATGTTGTAAATAAATAAATAAACATTATCCAAACAACCAGATTATTTTTGCAGTCCTCCAAGTTCCTTGAGTGGCTAATACAACCTATTGGCCTCCAGCAACTGTCCACCAAGCTTCAGATTAAACGTCTAGCTCCTGTAACTAGATAGTCAGATAGCATGCAGCTGGTGAGAAGGACCATTCTTTGCCAGAGAGGCTAAAGAGCCATGACTCCTCACAAGAAACAAGATTGGCAGTTCAAATGGATGTGGATGATTCATGGCTAGACTTTTGGTTTAGTCCAGCAACACAGTTTTTCGTGAACTTACTTCCTCCACAGGCTTATGAAGGGCAGGTATCGTCTGCTCCAAATGATCCAGACCTTGACAAGCCAAAGTATTTGCTGTTGCAACTGTTTTGAAAAAACGATATAGAAATTAATATGATAGTAAAGGGAAAGAAGAAGATCAGTGTCAGTCAACACACATATTTCACTGAAGTGCCTTAATGCACCTTTGAGGGCATTGTTTGGACAAAACACCCAAAACTGTGTCTATGCAGAAGTGTAAACTACAGAAGGAGACCTTTGTCTTTATGTAAATGCATCTTGAGGACAATTGTCATGTGCATCTTAAAGATGACAGCAAAATATCTCCTGTATTGTCGAAGGCTTTCATGGCTGGAATCACTAGGTTCTTGTGGGTTTTTTCGGGCTATAGAGCCATGTTCTAGAGGCATTTCTCCTGACGTTTCGCCTGCATCTATGGCAGCTACTTCAACCACAGAAGTCAGCCATAGCAGAGCACCTGATGAACCAGCCTGGACACAGCATATTATTTGAGACCACAGAAATGCTGGACCACACCAACAACCACCATGTCAGACTACACAGAGAAGCCATTGAAATCCACAAGCATGTGGACAATTTCAACAGAAAGGAAGAGACCATGAAAATGAACAAAATCTGGCTACCAGTATTAAAAAACTCTAAAATTACAACAGCAAAACAACAGAGAGGAAACAACCAGGCACAGATTAACACCTCCCAGCAAGAGATTTTCCCAGGCTCAGGCAGGCCTTCAAATGCTAATGAAGGCGATCAGCTGAAACATTCACACCTAACTGCAGCAGGGAAGAGCTCTTTGCCCCACCCCAGCCATTCCACAGATATATAAACCCATTGTCCTACTTCCAACAGACCTCACTACCTCTGAGGATGCTTGCCATAGATGCAGGCGAAACGTCAGGAGAAATGCCTCTAGAACATGGCTCTATAGCCCGACAAAACCCTCAAGAACCTAAAATATCTCCTATTCCTTACTATAGAGGTCAGAATCCAACAGGTAACATCTATCAACAAATAGATAGCTCTTTTAGCAAATAGATAATGAGAAGTTTCAGTCTGTCATTGAACATTGAGGAAAACCAAAGTGCTCTTCCAGCAGTCACCAGCCAATCCCTTTCCAAAGCCAGAAATACAGCTTCATGGTGTAACATTAGAAAATGCTGACCATTTCTGCTCCCTTGGCAGCCTCCTCTCCACAAAAGTCAGCATTGACACTGAAATACAACACCACCTGATCTCTGCGAGTGCAGCATTTTTCCAAATGAAGCACAGAGTGTTTGAGGACCAGGACATCCGTAGGGATACCAAGGTGCTTGTCTATAAAGCTATTATCCTCCCAACCCTGCTTTACATCTGTGAAACGTGGACTATTTACAGACATCACATGCAACTCCTAGAATGATTCCACGAGCGTTGCTTCTGAAAAACCCTGCAAATCTCTTGGGAAGTCAAGCAGACAAATGTCAGCATGCTGGAAGAAGTAAAGACCATCAGCACTGAAGCGATGGTCCTCCGCCATCAATTCTGCTGGACTGGCCACGTTGTCCGGATGCCAGATCACCATCTCCCAAAGCAGTTGCTCTACTCTGAACTCAAGAACTGAAAACGGAATGTTGGTGGACAGGAAAAGGGATTTAAAGATGGGCTTAAAGCCAACCTTTAAAACTCTGGCATAGACAGCACTCCAGCTGGAGGTCAGCTGTGACCAGCAATGCTGTAGAATTTGAAGAGGCACGAAATGTGCCAAGAGGAAGGCGTGTCAAGCCAACTCCAACCGAGACCTCCGGCCTTCCACCTGGAAACCAATGCTCTCACTGTGGGAGAACATGCAGATCAAGAATAGGGCTCCACAGTCACCTACGGACCTACCCGCCAGGACACAATAAACAATTCATAATCTTCATTTCAGAATTTTGGAGCCATATAAGAACCTGCAGGATCAAACTGGTGCAAGGAGTAGAGAAGCTGTTTAGGAAGGGGAATGAAGTAAGGTGGGCCCTTTTGCCTATGAACACAGGAAGAATCCAATGGATCAGACCACATCCCTAAGCCAGCATACACTTCCCATATATGTTAACAGGAACCCTACAAAGTCATGAGTGTAACACGATTGTGGATGGCTGATTTTCATTTCGGTGGGGGCAGGGATCCTGCTCTTGGTTTAAGGTAGCTGTCCATGGTGCTGAAGCCTGAGAGAAAAGGTACGGCTGACTCCACATGCCCATTCCCCTCAAAGTTTACTGCCCATCAGAGAGTGCTTTGACTAAAGCGTTAAATAATAATAATAATAATAATCCTTTATTTATACCCCACTACCATCTCCCGAGGGAAGATACTAGAGACAAAGTTGAAGTACTTTGGCCACATGGAAAGCCTAGAGAAGACAATGATGCTGGGGAAAGTGGAAGGTAAAAGGAAGAGGGACCGACCAAGGGCAAGATGGATGGATGGCATCCTTGAAGTGACCTTGAAGGATCTGGGGGTGACAACGGCCGACAGGGAGCTCTGGCATGGGCTGGTCCGTGAGGTCACGAAGAATCGGAGACAACTGAACGAATGAACAACAAAACCATTTCCCGAAGGACTCGGTGCGGCTTACAAGAGGCCGAGCCCAAATACATCAGTAGAAACAGCAACAGCAGCAATACAGACAATAAATAAACTCATAAACAAAGCAATAAACAGTAACAATAACACCACGATGCATTAAAAACCTATGGCAGGGCCAAATGTAATAATTAAAAATTTAAAAAATGCTGGGCATGACAAGGTGACCTATAACTAGGATGGGTATTTGGAGAGAGATGGGGCGAGCAGGCAATCCTAGATCATTAGTAAAGTGTGATTAGGGACATGTTGCTTAGGGTTTCCTTATCCTGGGAAGGCACACTGGAACAAAAATGTCTTCAAGCTCCTCTTAAAGACTGCCAAAGTTGGGGCATGCCTGATGTCCTTGGGGTGCAAGTTCCAGAGTCGAGGGGCCACCACCGAGAAGGTCCTATCCCTTGTCCCCACCAATCGCACTTGTGATGGAGGTGGGAGAGTGAGTAGGGCCTCTCCAGATGAACGAAGAGATCGTGTGGGTTCGTACACAGCGATGCGGTCACGCAGGTAGGCGGGTCCCTAACCGTTCAGGGCTTTGTAGGTAAGCACCTGCACCTTGAATTGGGACCATGGCTGCCACTTTTGGATGCAGCTTTGTTCCGGGTCTTCACTTACAGTGGGGTTCCAGCTTCCGTACCACGGGCCTCACACTCCATGCAGCCAGAGAGCTGGCACTCTGGAGACTCCGTTCATAGGCCGTGCATAGTGATCCCACCAGTGGGTGAGCTTCTTTGGTAGTGGCATATGTCTTCTGAAGGCTGTTGCAAGCAGAATTCACCACTGGGAGATGCAAGATCCTTTGAAATGCATTATTTTCCTGTTGGGACAGAAAAAGAACACTTTTAGCTCACAGCAAGTGGAATGCAATGGTGTGGCTGTTATGAATTCTTGAGCTTAAGGAAACGAGATTCCGAGTTCAAACTCAAAACATTTCCAAAAGTTTATTATTTTGGGAAGGCATGACCTTTTCGAGATCCTAACCTTTTGGAAAACCAGGAATCTCCATAGGAAGTGTGATCCTTTTGGAGATTGATTGACATTGATTGACACTCGCACTATTTGGAATAATCATAACCCTTTTGTGGAGCCCCCGGTGGCACAGGTTCGAATCCGGGAATAGGCCGATGAGCTCCCTCTATCAGCTCCAGCTCCTCATGCGGGGACATGAGAGAAGCCTCCCACAAGGATGATAAAAACATTAAAATCATCCGGGCGTCCCCTGGGCGATGTCCTTGCAGAAGGCCAATTCTCTCACACCAGAAGCGACTTGCAGTTTCTCAAGTCACTCCTGACACGACAAAAAAAAAAAAACCAACCCCTTTTGTAAAGTATGATCTTCCTGAGAAGAGTTAAATACTCATTTGAGTGAATCTTTTCCTTCGTGGTAAACATCCACTAGTATTCATGCAAGGCAAATTAGTTTTCTCAGTTGTTAGACTGATATACCTGGTTATTTCTCTGAACTGCTAAGAACAAAGATATGCCAGTGCACAAAATATATAGTAGATTGTCAGAAGTGTTACTTCAGTTGCCCAAAAAAATCTACTCTCTCATAAAATATATTGCTTTTAAATCAAGAGACCAAAAATAAGTAGCATTCTTTAAAAGTAACATAGTTGATTTACTTACAGACTTCAGTATACAGGTACATTACTGTGTTGTTTTATTGTTATAATTTTAAGCATAAGCATGTGGACAATTTCAACAGAAAGGAGGAAACCATGAGAATGAACAATATTTGGCTACCAGTATTAAAAGGCTGTGGAACGCCCTTCCTACGGACATTAGACTAGCACCATCTCTAATGGTATTCCGCAAAAAGGTGAAGACCTGGATGTTTGTGCAGGCGTTTGAGTAATTTAGTACAATCTGGTAATGGAACATAGGAATGGAACAATGGACGACGAATCTGGACTACGCTTGGATGATGAGAAGATTGGGTACGGTTGTTTTTTGTAATAATTGTGCATTGTAATTGCTTATTGGTAATTTATGGATAATGTGTTAAGTCAATTGTTATATGTTGTATGGAACCACTGCTGTTTCTACTGTTTCTACTGTTTGTGAACCGCTGTGAGTCGCCTTCGGGCTTGAGATACAGCGGTATAGAAGCAAAGTAAATAAATAAATAATAAAAAACTCTAAAATTATAACAGTAAGACAACACTCAAACACAGGGGAACTCCAGAGAGGAAACAATCAGGGACAGCTATTCACCTCTCAACAAAAGATTCCCCCAGGCAGTAAGAAGCCACATCTAAAAACTGCCAGGCCATCAAATGCTAATCAAGGTGGCAAATTGAAACAATCACACCTAGCTCCAACAGACAAGAGTTGGGTTGTTGTAGGTTTTTTTCGGGCTATATGGCCATGTTCTAGAGGCATTCTCTCCTGACGTTTCGCCTGCATCTATGGCAAGCATCCTCAGAGGTAGTGAGGCCTGTTGGAACTAGGAAAAGGGGTTTATATATCTGTGGATTGACCAGGGTGGGACAACGGACTCTTGTCTGTTGGAGCTAGGAGTGAATGTTTCAACTGACCACCTTGATTAGCATTTGATAGGAGCCCCTGGTGACGCAGTGGGTTAAACCCCTGTGCCGACAGGACTGAAGACCGACAGGTCGCATGTTCGAATCCAGGGAGAGGCGGATGAGCTCCCTCTATCAATTCCAGCTCCTCATGCGGGGACATGTGAGAAGCCTCCCACAAGGATAATTAAAAAAAACATCAAATCATCCAGGCGTCCCCTGGGCAATGTCCTTGCAGACGGCCAATTCTCTCACACGAGAAGCCACTTGCAGTTCTCAAGTCGCTCCTGACACAACAACAACAAAAAAAAGCATTTGATGGCCTGGCAGTTGTTAGTGCCTAGGGCAATCTTTTGTTGAGAGGTGATTAGATGTCCCTGATTGTTTCCTCTCTGTTGTTTTGCTGTTTTAATTTTAGAGTTTTAAATACTGGTAGCCAGAAGTTGTTCATTTTCATGGTTTCCTCCTTTCTGTTGAAATTGTCCACATGGTTCTTGTGGATTTCAATGGCTTCTCTGTGTAGTCTGACATGGTGGTTGTGAGAATGGTTCCAGCATTTCTGTGTTCTCAAATAATATGCTGCATCCAGGTTGGTTCATCAGGTGCTCTGCTATGGTTGACTTCTCTGGTTGAAGTAGTCTGCAGTGCCTTTCATGTTCCTTGATTCGTGTTTGGGCAATGCTGCTGCGTTTGGTGGTCCCTATGGAGACTTGTCCACAGCTAATCAAGATGGTCAGTTGAAACATTAACACCTAGCTCCAACAGACAAGAGTTCTTTGTCCCACCCTAGTCATTCCACAGATATATAAACCCATTTTCCTAGTTCTAACAGACCTCACCACCTCTGAGGATGCTTGCCATAGATGCAGGCGAAATGTCAAGAGAGAATGCCTCTAGAACATGGCCATATAGCCCGAAAAAACCTACAACAACCCAGTGATTCCAGCCATGAAAGCCTTCAACAAAACAAGAATTCTTTCTCCCACCCTGGACTTTCCACAGATATATAAACCCAATTTTCCTAATTTCCAACTGACCTCACAACCTCTGAAGATGCTGTCGCAGCTATGGTGTTGCTGCTTTAAAGTTGGGGTTGATTTCAAGCATCCTAACCCCTTTTTCGGAAGCTGCGCCCCGTTGAGAAAAAATAATACAATCAACGGAAGACAAACTCTCTTCCAATAAAGAAAATGTTTATGCAATAGTCACAAATAATAGTTTCAATCCATCGATCCCAATATTCCAGCAAACCTTCCTTGAGCTTTTACAGAAATCTATTCCTCTTGCTCTTGCTTTCTTCACAGTCTCTCATCTCATCATCATCTCCATTTTCTCTATTCTCTATTCTCTCAGTCTCTCAATTTGTAGTACTTAAGCTTTCACAGGTGGCTTGACTGTTGCTGGCCATACAATGACTGGACATGATTCTTACAATCACTTACCCATTTTTCACTTAAGAAATGATCTAAACAATATAAAACTCTGACAGATGCCTGCCACAGAAGCAGACAAAACGTCAGGAGAGAATGCTTCTATATATGGCCATACAACCCGAAAAACCTACAACAACCCATTAGGAATATTTGTGTACAGAAATATTGTTTAATTGCAACCCCCCCCCCCCAAAACTGCTGTGCAAATCAACCATGTCCATATGTTGTGCAAAAGCCCCTAAGTGTGCCACTGTTCTGTTCAGAAAATGATGTTTTGTGCAAATTTTGTGCATATGACGTTTTGAAATTTAAAAAATTCTATTAGTGTAATCAGGTTTTTTTGTTTTTTGTGACAACTGAAAAACAGGGATGGCAGGTTTGACCAGTTTTGCAACATTTTAAAATATTATTTCCATAGTTATTAGTAGACACAGTTGCTAACTGAGTTTTATGCATTGTCGAAGGATTTCATGGCCAGAATAACTGGATTGCTGCAAGTTTTACGGGCTGTATGGCCATGTTCCAGAAGCATTTTCTCCTGACATTTTGCCTGCATCTATGGCAGGCATCCTCAGAGGTTGTGAGGTGAGCTGGAAACTAGGAAAATTGGGTTTATATATCTGTGGAATGTCCAGGGTGGGAGAAAGAACTCTTGTCTGTTGGAGGTAGGTGTGAATGTTTCAATTGGCCACCTTGATTAGCATTTGATGGCTCACAACCTCTGAGGATGCCTGCCTTAGATGCAGGCAAAATGTCAGGAGGGAATGCTTCTGGAACATGGCCATACAGCGCGAAGGATTGATTAATATTTTTACATCTGCACACTTACCTTGGGGTTTCCATTCTGCATGACTTTCTTGCTTTTGGCTGCCATTACGAACCATCCAAATGGATAGCAAGTGAAATGATCTGCAATGACAACAAGGGTTACCTATTGCAATGTCTTCTGAAGCTTCTGGAGCAGTGTTTCTCAACCTGGGGGTCGGGACCCCGGGGGGGGGTCATGAGGGGGTGTCAGGGGGGTCACCAAAGACCATCAGAAAACACAGGATTTTCTGTTAGTCATGGGGTAATGTGTGGGAAGTTTGGACCAAATCTATTGTTGGTGAGGTTCAGAATGCTCTCTGATTGTAAATGAACTATAAATCCCAGCAACTATAATTCCCAAATGTCAAACTTGGCACGCAGAGCCCTCATGACCAGCAAAACATACTGGAGGTCTTTGGGGAAAATTCACCTTGAATTGAGGAGTTGTAGTTCATTTACATCCGGAGAGCACTATGAGCCCAAACAGTGATGGATCTGGACCAAACTTGGCACACATACCTGATATGCCAAAATTTGATTGCTGGAGGGGTTGGGGGGGGGGGGGGGGACCTTTCTTTCTGGGAGTTGTAGTTCACCCACAACCAGAGAAACTATGATCTCAACTGATGAAGGACATGGACCAAACTTGGTACACAGAACCCTCATGTCTAACTCAACCCACTGGAGGGGTTTGAGGGGACTGACCCACCATAGTGGGAGTTGTAGTTTGCCCTACAGCCAGAGAGCACACTGAACCCCACCGATGATGCAGCTAGAGCAAACTTGCCCAACGTAACAAACTTTAAGTACTTATGGAGTTTTTCAGGGGGTTAACCCGGCATGATGTGAGTTGTAGTTCACCCACAACCTTATGCATTTTGTACAGTTTTTACAAAATGACTTTTTCAAATAATGCAGGAAATACCAGGTCCCCAAACTAGTATTACATATATATTAAGTATGTATGTACTCCTAGCCCATATTATATAAAGTACATTTATGAAGACATCTCAGGGCTACTATACAGGTATCATTTTGCAATAGCAGTATTGGAAAGGTACTCACAGACTGCAGAAGTCCAGCTGTCCCCAGCAAAGTGCCAGGATCGGAGACTGTACGGCAGGCACCACCTCGGTTCTGACGGAAAGAAGTCTTACTCAAGACGGCCACCCTCCGAAGCCCAACCTTCTGGGTAAATGGGTCAAAGAGTCTGCCATGCTTTTGTGCTAACTGGGTAAAAGAGCTTATACAACTCAAATACATGAGTAAATTACTGGCAAACTAAAGGCTTCGAATGACCAAGAGACCAGGTGTGCTTCTTTAAGAGACACAAACCTGAGTGTTGTGAACCAAAGATCACTCTGCAATTATTCTGTTTTTACTTGCCTCGCTGACTGTTTTTTTTTTTTTTTTGGAAGAAGAGTGGGACAGAAATGCTGGAAGAATATGAAGACTGAACTAGCAAACGTTATTACTGAGGAACAGACATGCTAAGGGAGGCTGCAGCAGCTTGCTTTATTTATTTATTTATTTATTTATTTCAAATATTTGTACCCAGCCCTTCTCAACCCTCGGGGGGGGGGGGGGGGGGGGACGGACACTCAGGGCAGCTTACAGCCAGCAACGATTCAATGCCCCGTATACACATGCGGCCAGTGATTCCATCAAAAGCTTGTCCATTTCCATTTTTTAAATAAACTTTTATTTGAGAAAAAAATTACTTACTTACTTAGGCGATCCCTCGCTTTCTGAGAATGATTGTCTTCCAATATTCTTGTGGGTCCGTATGTGGCTGTGGAGCCCTATTCTTGCTCTGCATCTTCTTCCTTCTGCAGTGAGTGCATTGGTTTCCAGGTGGAAGGCGGTCTCGGCCAGGGTTGGCTTGACGCGCCTTCCTCTTGGCACGTTTCTCTTTTTCACCCTCCACTCGTGCCTCCTAAAATTCTGCAGCACTGCTGGTCACAGCTGACCTCCAGCTGGAGCGGTCAAGGGCCAGGGCTTCCCAGTTCTCAGTGTCTATGCCAGAGTTTTTAAGGTTGGCTTTGAGCCCGTCTTTAAATCTCTTTTCCTGCCCACCAACATTCCGTTTTCCGTTCTTGAGCTCGGAGTAGAGCAGCTGCTTTGGGAGACGGTGGTCGAACATCCGGACAACATGGCCGGTCCAGCGGAGTTGGTGGCGGAGGACCATCGCTTCAATGCTGGTGGTCTTTGCTTCTTCCAGCACACTGACGTTTGTCCGCTTGTCTTCCCAAGAGATGTGCAGGATTTTCCGGAGGCAGCGCTGATGGAATCGTTCCAGGAGTTGCGTGTGACGTCTGTAGACAGTCCACGTCTCACAGGCATATAGCAGGGTTGGGAGGGGAATAGCTTTATAAACAAGCACCTTGGTATCCCTACAGATGTCCTGGTCCTCAAACACTCTCTGCTTCATTCGGAAAAATGCTGCGCTTGCAGAGCTGAGAAAAAAAATACAGTTATATCGACATATACTATATATTTCCCTCTCTTTTATTTGCATTCCCCCCTGCGCTCCCCTTCTCCAGAGCCATCTTTTCTTCTAAAGTCCCACCAAAAGTTCAGTTCTTCATTTGGAGGTAAATTCCCATCTTCCTTTTCCAATATTTTTTCTAGAAATTTTCTCCAAATACTTTCAAAGTCATTTTTTTACATAATCCCTTTTTTACTTTTAAGTTTGATGTTAGCTTTCCTTTCTTCCCCCTTTTTCTTTCCCTCCCTCTTTCTCTCCTTTCTTCCTTCTGTACCTCTTTCCTTCCTTCCTTCTCTCTTTGCTTCCATGCTTCCTTCTCCCTTTCCTTCTTTCTTTCTCTCCCTTTCTTTTCTTTTCCTTTCTTTCTTTCTTTCTTTCTTTCTTTCTTTCTTTCTTTCTTTCTTTCTTTCTTTCTTTCTTTTCTCCCCTTCCCTCCCTCTTTCTTTCCTTTTTTCTGTATTGTCATTTAGCTTTTCATCATTTTTGGGTCTTTTTAAGTCCTTTCTGCTGTGTTTTTCAGTGTTTTTCTGAGTGAAGGACATACATTGGCCTGATAGGTGTCTTGTGTCCAAATTTGGTGTCAATCCCCCCAGTGGTTTTTGAGTTCTCCTAATCCCACAAATTAACATTACATTTTTATTTATATAGATCAAAGCATTTTTATTTTGTTTCAAAAAGCAAGCATATAATATTATATTACATGTATACAGTGGCATCTTTAGACAATAAAGACCAGGGAGTCCAAATTGAAATTATATCTTCTATACTCTGCTCATGAAAGGCTTAGTTTTTGCACAGGCTGTTTTATTTTTATACTCTCCTTCTCACCTCAGTTGGTGATTGCCACAAATGTAGGCGAAAAGCAAAGAACTGTAATGAAGCATAAGCCCTTGGGAGTGAGTCACTGCTCTCTCCAGACAGCAGGACAAAGGGCAGCAGCCACCACGGACCAGTGGACGGGGCACTTGGCAAAATATGCAAGCTTGGCATGCACTGGATTTAATACTTGGGGGAAAAAGTCACACCACAGTTGCTCCTTCTCCCAGATTGAAGACGGGAATCAGTAACACCATTTCTGCTTGCAGATTAACTCACTCCTGCAGGGTGTTCTGCACACTCCAAAAGAAGTCTGTGGTCCTCAAATGTGGGGAGGATCCTATCCCATGTCCAGTGTTAACTAGCATCAGCATTGGAAGAAAGGATGGTGCAGAATGGTTGGAGAAACAGATCTTTGCTTTTCCCTCTTTCATCATGTTTTTAGTAACTATATCTTCATCCTTTGTTTCTTTATTTATCGCTCTGGGCCAAAGTGAAGAGAGGAGGGGCCAGGGAACAGTCCCATCTTGTCTCCTGGATATGTCAATAATTGGAGACCCTTCCCCCCAGCACCAACTGCCGATCTGGCCCAAAGTGAAGAGAGGGGGCCAGGGGACAGTTACATCCTGTCTCCTGGATATGTCAATAATTGGAGACCCTTCCCCCCAGCACCAACTGCTGATCTGGCCCACAGTGAAGAGAGAGGGGGCCAGGGGACAGTTACATCCTGTCTCCTGGATATGTCAATAATTGGAGACCCTTCCCCCCAGCACCAACTGCCGATCTGGCCCACAGTGAAGAGAGGGGGGGCCAGGGGACAGTTACATCCTGTCTCCTGGATATGTCAATAATTGGAGACCCTTCCCCCCAGCACCAACTGCCGATCTGGCCCACAGTGAAGAGAGAGGGGGCCAGGGACAGTTACATCCTGTCTCCTGGATATGTCAATAATTGGAGACCCTTCCCCCCAGCACCAACTGCCGATCTGGCCCACAGTGAAGAGAGGGGGCCAGGGGACAGTTACATCCTGTCTCCTGGATATGTCAATAATTGGAGACCCTTCCCCCCAGCACCAACTGCCGATCTGGCCCACAGTGAAGAGAGAGGGGGCCAGGGAACAGTCCCATCTTGTCTCCTGGATATGTCAATAATTGGAGACCCTTCCCCCCAGCACCAACTGCCGATCTGGCCCACAGTGAAGAGAGAGGGGGCCAGGGGACAGTTACATCCTGTCTCCTGGATATGTCAATAATTGGAGACCCTTCCCCCCAGCACCAACTGCCGATCTGGCCCACAGTGAAGAGAGAGGGGGCCAGGGAACAGTCCCATCTTGTCTCCTGGATATGTCAATAATTGGAGACCCTTCCCCCCAGCACCAACTGCCGATCTGGCCCACAGTGAAGAGAGAGGGGGCCAGGGGACAGTTACATCCTGTTCTTGTCTCCTGGATATGTCAATAATTGGAGACCCTTCCCCCCAGCACCAACTGCCGATCTGGCCCACAGTGAAGAGAGAGGGGGCCAGGGAACAGTCCCATCTTGTCTCCTGGATATGTCAATAATTGGAGACCCTTCCCCCCAGCACCAACTGCCGATCTGGCCCACAGTGAAGAGAGGAGGGGCCAGGGAACAGTCCCATCTTGTCTCCTGGATATGTCAATAATTGGAGACCCTTCCCCCCAGCACCAACTGCCGATCTGGCCCACAGTGAAGAGAGAGGGGGCCAGGGGACAGTTCCACCTTGTCTCCTGCATATGTCATCAGTTGGTGACCCCTCTCCCCAGCACCAACTGCGGCTCTGGGCCAGAGTGAAGAGAGAGGGGGCCAGGGGAACAGTTCCATCTTGTCTCCTGCATATGTCATCAGTTGGAGACCCCTCC